TCCTTCACCATAATAATTACTATATAAATAAAATCTTCACCTTATATATATACTAACTCGTCTCCCCACTCCAAGTAAAAAACTACAGAAAAAAAACCTTTAAAACTCTTCATCTAAAACCCTACTGCCTTCAGCCAAAGCATTCGTTTTCTCTTCTTCAAATGGCTCCTTCTTTGTCATCGTCACTTTCTTTTCAATCCAAACAAGTTTCATGCACGAGGAAGCTTACCAATATCATATGTGTTATCTTTCTAATTATGCTTCTTGCTGGCTCTAGTTTCGCCACTAGGCCTGGCAAAACAATCATCGTCGACGACAAAGTTTCCATGGCCACTTTCAGGAGAAAGTACGCGACGGGTTTTCGATACCAAGAACAGATGTTCAACTTCTTCCCCAAAGGGACCCCTATACCACCTTCTGGTCCATCTAAAAGACACAACTCTGTCGTCGATTCTACTCAAAACTGAGTAAACAGTCCCTTTTTTGTAGTTTGAAAGGTTTTTTAATCGTTTCTTAGTTCTTTTTTTTTCCTCTGTTAATTTAATGTTAGGATTGTCTGTAGCAAAGTTTTTTTGGGAATTGAATGTGAAGCCCAATGAGATCGGGTCAAAAACAGGGCTGATCCCTTTACGGCTTTTAGGGATTCTTAGCTATATACTGTATAGAAATTAAGATTTGTTTGTTGAAATTTTCTACTGGCATTCATTTAAATATGAATTCAACTGTATGTATACTTGGATGAAATGAATTCAATTTTGTGATGATTTATGAATGATGATAAAATTTTGGATATGATATGTTTCTGTTTTCAAATATTGTTTGCATCAAGCTTTGTACATAAAACAGTAGTTAATATGGTTTATCTGCCTCTCTCTTTTTGGTTTTGACTTTGAATTGTCAAGAAAAGCTAGCATTTGGATCTACTTTCATTGCTGTAGGCGAGAAAGGTTCATTGGATAGAGGTTACCATTCAAATTCAATCAACTTGGCTTTGGTTTAGACTAGACTTGGGCGCCTTTTGGCCCACTTGTTTTGAGTATTCCATTCATTAATGAGGAGTGAGGAACCTTGTTTAATTCACCAATTGGTTATACTACATGAGAGATGAGACTTGAGAATTGAGATGGAGTTGTTTTATTTATTTGGGTTACCTTTTGAGCAATTTGATTTTAAGAGACTTTGTTGGTGACTAACATGTGTTGGGAGTGTATCTTTCACATTTTAGACCAAAACCTCTGTTATGTAAAAGCAGAGTTTTCGAGTTTGATGGCATTTTTCTTCCCTACACGGGTATTGGAAGGCTAGCTAATTAATGAAACTCCAAGAATTCTTTCATGGGAATAGTGGAATTTGTCAAACAATATGAGAAAAGCATAAAAAAAATAAAAAGAAGGAATCAAGGTGGAAGTAAAGAATATTTACACCAAGCCTTGAGAAACTCATGCATCCAAGAAACCCCCCAATTCTAAATTGCTCAGCTACAAGGTAGGCATATTTGTCACCTTTTGACCATCTGAGATATATCAATATTAAAATAATAACGAATGTGTATATATATGTATATATATTAAATAACAGTAGCGCGAATGCCACCTTGACAATGCTTCACCTTTATTTAAGGGAACTGGTAAGATGTGAACCCTCATGTTCATGCCACACATTTGCTTGAATTTGGAGACATTTCAACAACTCTTTGTAAACCAATAATAACAATGCCTCAAGGTTAGCGATGGTTGAATTGAAATTATTAGAAGCTGATAATTCCTTCGCTTTTTTACTTGGTCTTGGAATGAATAAATAAATATATATATATATGTAGGTTAATTATCTCAATGGTAATTGCATTAAAAATTCTAAGGTATTGGTCCTTCTTGAGCTTAATTTAAATTGGTAGATAAGATAATTAATCAATCTGTTTCTAAAATTATTATCTTCTCACTTTTTATGTTGCTATTTCAAAAAGTTCGTATAATGTAGCGGCTAATAGAGGCATAATATATGTAATAATGCTCATGTCGTCATTGGTATTGCCCAAGTATCTTTAAGTTGACTTTTGGACTAAAATATTATTAAATGGTGGGTCCAAAATTCCAAATACATGCTTAGAGGTAGCCTATGTCAATGCCTTACAAAAACAAACGAATGAAAGTCTGTTCAACATTGATGGTTGGATTGGATGATGGAGTCAAAAAATATATTAACTTGTTCAATACTCAACTTTTAATTTTCCTTTTCTTGCCTTATGCTAGCTAGCTGGCCCCTTGAAAATGATCCCTTATTTTCTACATTTTTTACTCTGTTCTGGTTTCTTTTGCAATAACCGGATATGTTAACTGGCAAAACTCCAAAAATATTTGGAAGAAACAGTAGTAATACTTGCTGTCAAATTTCTTTACCAGCTATCCAGTAATATATACTATATTTAGATGTTATTTGCAGGCAGAGGCAAGCCTTACAATTATATATATAGCAAATTAAGGCAATGAAGGTCAAAATATGTATGGTGAGCTTTTGCCAGATTAATTTGTCCCAAATCCAAGTTCACACATTAATGAGAATGCATTGTAGAAGATTAATGGAACAATAAGCTAAACCCTAGCTACCATTTAGTTCTTTTTTTATAAAAAATTTGGGTTAATATATAACTAAGTTAACAGGAGATCTAAGAAATTTGAAGTATATGTACATTTCTATACGTACGCACTGTTGTTGTGTAGGTGCTTTGAGAGAAGTAAAGAGAAAGCATGATGAGCCATGAATTCTTTTGGCAATGGTAATGTTATGTAAGTCTAAAAAAGTGTGCAGTTTGCGGTTTCGAGAAGGAGGGTGCATGTGAATTTGACAAAATCTACGTTGGGGTTGCCATGGATTTCTAATTATACAAATTTCTTAAGTTCCTCGATTCATTTTGGTGTTTTGCTTAATTGCATGATCACCCTTTTTCTAAAGGTGGGAACAACAGCAACACCAATTAAATATTATTATTAGAATTGCTCCTACCCTGGGAAAACTTGATTACTTTCTTAAGCAAATTTAAAAGCTGGATTTCACAAATCTTAAGGTGTACATGCTGCACAACAAACTATACATCCTTTAGTTGGCAGAAGTTGAAAGCAATCCAAGCTCTTTTCAATTTGTTGTGAGTCCTAACTTGTAGGAGAATAATTTCATTAAATTAAGGTTTCATCTAGTTTTTTTTTTTTTTTTAACATTTTAACATTTTGTTATTTATCCCTTATTTTCAGTTTATTTTTTATTTTCTATTAAAAAAAGCAAAAAAAAAAGAAAAGATAAAAGCATTAGAACAGATTAATTCTCAAGGCAAATGTACCAAAACCTCTTTGATCGCTATATATATATATATATATAGACACACACACACACCCTAGGAGTCGAACTTGAGAGTATTATTGAAGCAGTGAAGAACCTTGGATAACTATCTTGTGACTGGGTAATGGTCAAGTTACTCTCCAGCAGTCCCGTTAGCTTAGAAGATGGGGCTTGGTCCAGTCAAGATCGAAGAAGGGGGACTGCCAAATAGAGCCCAAAAGGCCAAATGCTTAAATTTCAAAGGATCTAGGTATGTTGGGCTCATCAACTTGCTAGCAGCCCATATGTATATGTGCTCATGGACTGCAGCTCAGCTCCAAAGTCCCAAGTGTTATTTGTAAGTTTTAAGAATAAAGTTTAAAGTAGAAAAAAAAGTAACTTTTTAAAATAAAATTGGGATAAGTTGTAAATTTATCATTATAAATTTAAGTATAAACTTATATTGAGACGAAACAATTGAGTCAGTCTAGTTATGATTGGTTTACCCATTTAGCTAAAATGTCATTGGTTGCTGTTTTTAAGCATTTTGTTTGATTAACAGTGGGTTTTCTCTGTTTCTTCCAGACAAAAAAGGAGTATTTTGGTTTAGTTTGGATAGAATTACATTGGACAAAAGCCTAAAGCCAATTTGTCTCGGAAGAAGCATTTGTACCTTGGGCGAACACAATCTCTGGTCCAGATATATATATTACATAGCAAAAACCTGACCGCCTCTTTTCTGTCTGAAAACTGCGAGTCAATCAAGACTGGAGAATCCCAATGGATTTTGGTTTTTTCTTTAGCTGTAAGCAACAACGTTTGATTCATTCTTTTGGTTTTAAATTTGAAATGCAAGAAAGATACTTACGGATTATATATATGTACTATGACCAAGTAACCAGCAGGTTAAAAACACATAAAAAAAGAATTGTCCTAATATTAACAACTTCGGGATTAATCAAGTCCCTCATATTATTTAACTCCGAGATTGTTATATAAGATATGAATCTGTTACAAAATTTAAACTTGATGAAGAACTTTGCATGCGGGGAAACAGTTATCAGATGTCATCTCATGTCAGCAAGGCCTAATGGGATTGAGAAGAGAAAATGCATTATTTGATTCCTACACACACATTCGTTTTAGTACATGTGGTTCGAGGAACAGGCTTCCACTTTAATTAAGTATTAATGATAATATAAGGCCACGTGCTGGACTGCAGGCATACGTTTCCAGAGAGGATGGCTCTGTCTCACTTTAATCTACATATGTTTCCAGAAAGGATGGCTCTGTTTCACTTTAATTCACTTGTTTCTGTTTGGAAATGATTTGCGTAAATGGGGTAAATGGAAGAAAAGAAAAAATTTTCTTCTCAATTTGTTTGCACTTTCAAGGTTGCGTTGGCACTTGGCATTCTCATTGACATTTTGTTTTTGTATGTTGAAAAGCTTATATGCAAATTACATCTTCAGTTCATTTATCCTTACCTATATCAGCTCAAGAGACTTCTGCAATTTAAAACTCCAATAAACAAACTATCCTTCATGATTTTTAATAAACCAAACTGAAGTGAAAATTGGAATGTTGAGTCTAAACCACAAGATAATTCCGCAATGGAAGATCAGAATTCAGAGATCAAATAACTTTAAAAGGAGAGACATTTGCAACTTTGTTTCCAGTACTTACGAAAAGAGAGAAAGAAGATATACATGGACATACCCCGCCACAGCCACCCCATCTATCATATCATGCCATTGCCATTACCTTCCACTAACTAAAAGGTTTGTTTATATTATTAGCATGATACAAAAACATTATAACCCATGTTCCCCATATCCGTTATTATGAGGAGTAAACCTGCACTCTACGTCTTCATTGCTTAACAACAAAATCTAAAGCTAACGCAGTGGATCATAAGATACTGTCATGAAAACTCAAAACTAATTAAACTCTAAGCAGATAAACACTGAGTTCAGGGCCTCCAGAACCATCAGGATTCATCATGTAAAAGGCTTCCGAGTCCTTAGACCCTACAACCCTCTCAAACCTGGCTCTCATGTACATCAGCTCACCCTCCGACCCAGCTCTATTCTCATTGCAATATCCTGGTAGCACACCAGCACCCATTGAAATTGGCTCCACCGCCTTCAACACTTTCCATTCCTCCGGTCCACACTCACGCCTCATTGCAAACCCACATTTCTTTCCATTACAGTAAGTCCTCCAGACAGGTTCCTCTAGCAACTTCACGCCTTTCTTCTCTGTCTTCTTTTCACACTCTAAGGCAATTCTGACCAATCCAGAAGCCATTTCCCGAACTAAAACATTTGTTGGTGTTGCAAGTTGGATTAAAAATGCAGGACTTAATTTTGCCTCTTCTTGAAATGCAAAATGGACGTGACCACGCCGATATCCGAACAGGGTTCCTACAACTCTGGTGCCTAAACCTGAACGATAGGCTGATCGGTTCTTACCAAACACACTGAGAGCTGACCGAAGCTTGGAAACTGAAACAATTGGCAACTTCTTTCTTGGTACTGGAACTAAAGATGTTTGACTAGGCACCTGGATTCGGAGCTGGTCTGCTTCCTTGGCTTCCTCACAAAAATGCGAAGAGGAGCTGAGGGTTAGGATTTCTCCCTCGTCATCATCATCTTCGACCTTCTTTTTCCAGTTGAAATATCTCCTGGAGAAAGAGAAAGAAGAATCATGGGGGCTCTTAGCTGTGATTGTCTTCATATGGAAAAGGAAAGAAACAATTAGCAACAAGTAACTCCTTACAGACAAGGTTTGGTGACAAAAGAGAGAAAGAAGCTGGATAAATAAAGAGATTTTGAGTGTCTTTCTATTTAGTGGTTGTGGGGTGGATTTATGCTTTGCTTTGTAACGCCTTTTTTGTCAGCCTTGTAGGAGTGAGGGGGGGACTCGCTAGAGAATCCTGACAAGAGGAAGTTGAGCAGCCCCCACCAAACTGTAACAGGAGCAGAGAAATGGGGAAGCTTACACAGACAAACACTGAGAGAGAAAGTGACTATTTGAAAAGAATTATTGGAGGATAGTGGGTACCTGAGGAGACAATAGCGCGTGTGATTTCTTTGTCATGTGGGCCGGGGAGGATAGGCTGAAAATAAGGGGAGTGTGGGGTAAAGACTGGAGAGTGAAAGGGAGGTGGAGGGGGGGGGGGGGGGTTGATTGTCTAGTCTGAGTTGCATTGAAACTGTTAAGAACAGTTACAGCTACACCAACCGCAGCCACTAGAGCCACCACCCACTTCTGCATTTCAGTCCTTTGGAACTCCCACCGATAGCCCTTCTATCAGTTCTATGCTTCTACCTACGGATATGAGCCAACATTATTAGCCTCCTTTGTGCTTTGTATTCTTACGGTCTTTTACTATGTGGAATAGCAGCAGTTTTATTTTCTGAATTTCAGAGAATGAATGATTAGTCTGACTGTTGCCCCTCTCTTACTTTGTTCAATCCTTAGGTTCACAGGACATTGTTATCTCTCTTACTCCATTTTTCTTATTGAATCGTACTCCATTTCAATAATAGAACAAGTTATATGAAGAAAACAATAGTAATGCCAGGTCATAAATACTAGTAAACAAAGCAAATGAAGTAATCTCCTATGATTTGTTATGAGTTGTATGGATTGGAGGAGTGTCAATGTCAAAAAGTTTCTATATCTACTCATAATTACTATATAGCCATTGACCCAATATGTTTCTGAAAAAGAATGAGCTAAGATATATAGGCTGCAAGCAAAGGCAATTATATATCCTATTCTGGTATATGTTTGAAATTTTGAGCTCAATAGATCCTTAGGTCAAGACTCAAGACTGACTAAGAATTTTGTCTCATTTTATTGCATATGGCTCCACTTGTGCTGAAAACAATCCTTAGGGTCAAATCTGGTTGAATTTTGGATCACCACATGCAAATTGTTAGAAAATCGAATGCTTGAGTTATTTTCCAATTTATGGGACCTACCCAAATTCACGGATCAACTAACCAGGCAAGATCCCATGATGATCGAAGTTGAAGTTTACCTAAATCTATAATATATATATATATATGTATACACATACCTAAATCTATAATATATATATATATATATATATGAAAGATTAATTTATATAATGTAAAATTAAACAAGTTTTATTTTTTTTAACTTTTGATTTTAATAGATCCATCTCATAAAAAAACAAATTAAAATAAAAAATGATTTAATCTCATCTTTTAAATATATTAAAATCAATTATTAAAAAATTATGTATATTAAAAATTTTTACTGATCTCTTATCATAAATATTTTGTGTACCACTCCAATCACTTAATATATATATTGATCTTATTGGGCAGCTCAAGAAGAACACAAAAAGCTTATTTAACGAAGTCAAGATTAAGCCTGAAGTAATGCATTAAAAGAACAATAAATTAACAACTGAGAACTAAGGAGATAGTCTTTGGTAGTGCAAAATTCGTCCATGACTGATGTATAGGTAACCAACCCATACTTATTCAGGCATATAAACAAAGTTTATTAGTCAAGCCGGAAGACCAGGAGAAAAGAGTTCACAAACCAAAGGCAACTTACCACTAAGTAATTAATGAGAAATTATCTGATGCCCAAACCTTCAGCATAATAGCTCAAGCCAAGCAGAAAGAGAGGAAAGTCGATATGCTTTTGATCAACACCTAATTTGGTTAACTGGGGACATAAAATTCCAATCTAAAAAATAAAAAGCTGAAACTGTTTAATTGCTAGTGGAAAATCGCTACGATATTAAGGTATCTTCCCCGTCTCTTACCATGAGAGACGCCAAAAGAAAGGATATTAATGTTGTGCCTGCAAAAACTTTGCTCCACTTTACTGGAACTGCTCTTTTAATCCCAAGAAATTTACCACTCACTTTCTTCTCTGGCTTTGGAATTTCCCGTTAATGGTTTATATTGTAATTACGCTGTGCTTAGCAGAAAGAAAAGATGAGGATAGAAATGACTGCAACAAAACCTATAGGACCAAATCTCTACTCTATCATCCGTTTCACTTCAGTTCCTCTTCTACAACTTTTGTGACTGAACCCCCTTTACGCTAATGTATCCGTTTCACTAACACCATTATAAATAAGTTTGGTTGATGGTGAGGCAATTTCATAACATTACTCCTACAGACTATAGCAATGAAATTCGGGAATTTCTCATTTTGCATCCTAGAAGAAATCAATCTTACAGGTTTGAATTTTTTTTTTTTGTGTGCTGTAGCAATAGCATTAGATGAATCAATGTTGAATGTATGACTAATCGGAAATGTCCAGTACATGTACCCATAGAGAATTTGTTCATTTAATGTGAACAAACTGTCGAGCCTGATCACGTAAAGAAACATCACATAAAGAAACCAAAACCAAAAGAACTAAGACCAAAGAACGCCACAAAAAGAACAAACATTTACTTCAACGCGTAAGCAATATTATGCAATCACAATGAGAATATATATATATATATATATATATATATTTATATAGACGTAGTGCTCAACTCCACACTCCTATTGCAGTCAGTTATTCTTGAAATAACCCTTTCAGTCACCTTTTATAAAACAATTGTGTTCAAGTCAATTGGAGTCTATGCCATTTGTAACCTTGTGAAACACCACGGATTCATGCTATTTAAAAGGGTCACTCCATTTATCCAACTCAGAAATTTTATTAGGTAATCAGAAACTTTTACCTTTATGGAATTGACAAGTGAGCCAATGCAGTAAGTCTATACTACTCTCTATGATCTTCTTGCTATTAAACTTAATTCATAAGCATTCAACTTTACATGAATTATGTTAACTAAAAAATATATAGATATAAAGAGGAAACTTGCAAGAATTAATCGCACACACATGCAAAAACACCAAAGTTCTCTCTTAATATCAAGAAGAATTTTAGCACCTAGTATATTCAAAATTGTTTTAGAACCAAAATTATGTCATTAAAATCCCTAAAATTGTTTCAGAACAAAAATTATGCCATTTGAAATGCCAGTCAAGCCTGTAGTGATATAAGAGTGGCAGATGAAAAAAGGTCAAACTCTTAGAAGGTTGATCATAATTAGACAAACAAAAATGGCAACACATAGACAATTCAAAGCCTATAAAAGATTAAAACATAATTTTGACTTTCAAAATTTGTAACTAATTCCCAAGAACAAAGAGTCAGATGCCTAAAAATTAATAAGTAACATGTATAGAAAGGAAGCTAACAAGAGAACAGTAAAGTTGAAGGATTATTGATAGTGTATAATACGAATTGTGAGAAATTTAAAGCTTCGTACCCACAGAAAAGAGGAACCATGAGAGCTGTGGAAGCAAAGTTTTTAAAATGACTCAAAAGGATGTCCGCTACAAGAATGAATGAATGTTTTGAACTGTTAGAATCTGCTTCAAAGAAACCATTCAGTATCGTGCCAAACTAGAAGGGAGATTATATTGTGCTAGCAGTGGAAGTTGGTAGCCCAGATATTACTATTGCTTCACTAAATCTCCTGCGAAATAGGAGGTTTTTCAGCAAATTATTTGTCAAGGACATTCCTTATGACTGTTGCTTTCCAAAACTTCTGGTTTCACTTTCCCCCTGCCTGTCTAAAACTTTCTGGTTGACAAAATATTTCATACTCAGTCTCTATATAGGTGATGGAATTGCTACAGTTGGTTCAAAGTTGTCATTGTTATCATTTCCACAACCATGATTAATTTATAAATTGATGCCAACAAAATCCTCATGACCTATACTATGACAACTAAGTGAGGAGAACTTTGCCCAAGTGGAACAAAAATATTAACAAACCACTACTTTGCTCAGAAAACATTAAGATTATCATCATTAATAAAGCAAAAACCAAGAGTGAATGCCAATAATGCTGAATTCTTTTAACAAATGAAATGGAGTTATTTTTACTCAAGGAAACCTCAGTTAAATCATTAGATATTCGTAGAGATATCAGAATCATGTCCCTAATAAAGCAAATAACCAAGAGTAGTATGAATTTCAATAGAAATTAAAGAAAATGCTAAGTCCTTCTTACCAAAAACACTTTAGTCTGGCAGAGTGAATTTAATTTGTAAGATATTCAAAAGAGAAACATGAATCAGCCAAAATAACTGTGATCAATAAATGGTGAATATGATGTGATTAGGTTGACGGTGCAACCAAGCTCCATGAAACTAACCCAAAAGCCAAGCCAGCTTTGAACATATCTACTCCAATCTTACCTAGGGCAATTCACCGTAATTTTACAGGTAGGTATTCCTATATTAGAGGACAAACCCATCTTACATGACTCATCACTTATCCAGTTTGAAGGACTTGCTCCTAGTTGTTATCAATAGTATAGTCTTTAGTCACTTTTAACACTTAATAGACTTCCACCAAAATTAACTTTAAATATTTTTTGCTATTAATTTTCATATTATATTTCCCAACAGAAAATAAAATTGGACAAACACCAGAAGCCCACAATCATTAGATAATTTTGGTAGATAAACAAGTCCATCCTTATATCTCCTGGTGGCTTTTATTATAATTATTCAATACAACAACCCACAAAATTTCCTACATTAAACCATTGTTTTAGAAAACAACAATCCTAATCTGTAAATGTGCAGAGCCACATGTACGATTGATAAGTAAAATTTTCGAGTCCATGTATCTATATAAATATTTGTTTGAATAGACTTATTCACAAAATACATAAAAAGAAACAATTAGATGTACAAATGCGAATGATAAATAAAGTAGAAAGAAGGCAGCAAGAGAACAATATAAAATGTTGAAGCATAAAAAAAAAAAATGCAATCAACAAAGAAATATAATACCATATTAATAAAACTAGAAATATAAGGGATTTATACCTTGGATGAAGCACAAGAGCACATTTTAAACCAATCACAGTAGCATCACCTTTTTTACTAATAACTAAGCATAAACATTCACAGTTTTAAATTCACATTACCAATAATATTGGCCATACAATACAGCATGATAAAATGAAACCCATCGATCAGTGTTCAGAAAATAAAAGCAAAGCCCTAAAACGCATTCAGCAACTGTGAAGTGGATGAGATTGAGATGGAAAAGGATTGAAGCCACTCCGTACCATTTTCTCCAGTGGCCAAAACAAAGGTTGGGGCAGCTTATCCCAATCATACCAGTCCCAGCCATCGCACTTATTTGGCTCCAGGTTTTGTGGCACCTGATTAGGATCCGCTAACACTGCACGCAGGAAGATGGTGACGTAATGTGCGGGTTTGGGTTCCTCCAGGAAGACGGTATTGGTCACTGTTAAGTACTCTGCTTTCCCCATTTTCAAACCCGTCTCTTCCTCCAGCTCCCTAGCGCCGCACTCCTCGAAGTTCTCTCCTGCAACAGGCGTCTTTTAGTTACTACTAACAATTTCTCAAATGTAAGAGAACCGAAATAGTAAAAAAGAAGACATTTTAATAACGAGTAAATATTTGGTGAGGAGAGAGAGAGAGAGAGAGAGAGAGAGAGAGAGAGAGAGACCAAACTCGAGGTGGCCGCCGGGGAGAGCAAAGGTGGAGTCACCAATGGAGGAGCGGCGGCGCCCCAACAGGACCGATTTTCCCTTTAACACGAACACCGCCACCCCTACTCGTGGTTCCAGCTTTGTTTCCTCCATCACAACACCGTTTTGCATATTCAAGCAATTCGAATTCAAAAGAAGAGAGCGTTAAAGTCTCCCCTTTTTTTTTTTTTTTTTTCTTTGTTTTACCTCTACTCTGGTAGTTCTATGAGTTATGTACTATGACCTTGACATTCCCTCGTGCCTTTTATAAACTTGACGGGAAGGGTAAAGACGTCGTTCCACTCCGCCTAATTGTTTACCTTTACAGCCATGAGGAACGTGCGCCACGTAATAATAAGCTAAAGGGGAAGACCATCACTTTTTCTGACATGGCGCAATACAATCGCGCAGCAAGGTTTCTTCTCTCTCTGTTTGGGCAGCAAGCAAAATGGAAAAAGGTTTAGAAAGTATAAGCTAACGGGAATATATCAAAAAATAATGTTCAAATAAGCTGATGGGAAAGACTTTGACTTTTTCTGACCTGGCGCACTACAAATGAGCAGCGATGTTTCTTCTCTTTCGGCTCGGGCAGCAAGCATGCCACGAGGAAAGAGGTTTAGAAAGTTTGGGAACCTTTCTTTCGTAGAAAATACTTTTTTTTTTTTAAATGTTGCGCATTAGTTTTAGACTCCACCAGTTAACAGAATATCATATATCTTTATAGAATTTCGTATAGAAATGGGACTCATAATAATATTATAAAGAACGTTGATTATTTTGTGGAAATATAACCGAACTCTACATCATAAAAGAACTTGAGAATAAGAGAGACAGAGAAGCGAGCAAAACTAAAACCTGTAGTAACACGCATCAGATCTTCCACTCTGCAGGCATGGTAGTCAAAGGTAATACTTTTAACACGTATTGCTACAGAGCATGCATTATTACCGTACAAGATTTTGCCGAGGTCAAAAAATGAGGGAACCAACAACTGTCAACTTGACACATCTCTATAGTCCAAAAGCCCCCAACTCATTGTTGATTTGTTGGTCATAGGAAACGGTTTGATTGGAATGCACATGGGGCACCAACATGCATGTAACATTTCTTATACCGCAGATTTCGAGGAGTGCCTCACGCATACTAGATCATCCAATTTGTTACCATCCATTTTGTACATAGAAACACCTTCCATTTGCTTATAATGATCTTGCGCTTCCTTTCTTAGACTCTCAAAAGGCATGATTTCCCATTTGCTGTAATTTGACTGTTTCCTAACACTAATCATGTCTGAAGAACCTGAAATCCGCCCACTTTTGTTCGGGTCCACGTTGCCCCAAACCTTGCAACTACCAAACTGTCCCATGAGACCTGCTGGGCCCTTTTTTAAGTGCAAGGCAGCTGCATGAGCCCTTCTTATCATTTCTCTACTTGGGACATCTGACCAGACTTGCTTCCTCTTGGCTCTCATAGGAGAATGAATCCTGATAACCTGGAAAGCATAAACCATGAATGTCAATTAATGGGACTTTTTTTAACGCATTCGATGATAAAAATGGAACTAAAAGCCTTCATAGTATTTTGCAGGGGGCGAGTATCATACACCAAGGCACTCTAGCAGTTGATAGTATGCTCTTCCTTGAAGTGGATTATGCCCTTTCCTTGGTGTAGAGAAGTACCTCGTCCTGCAAAAAACATTGTGAAACTATAAACATTGTGAAACTATAAGCAAGAAATTGGAAGGAAAGCAAATAACATACCGTCATATTTACAAGAAAAAAGTCAGAAATTCAGCAAGAAAATAATATTAATAATCATTCAGTTGAAAACATGTTGGAGAACATATCGACTGTGTTTCTACCACATGTAATAATTAAAAGTCAACTTTCATCTTCAAAAATCAGCGAGTAATACAAACTTATGGACACCAACGACACATCACTTGATTTCTGTTCTTCAAAATGCAAACTAGAAACTATTGAGCATTCTTCTTCATTTGAACTGAGAGAAGGACAAAAATTTGTCTATAATACTATCTTTAATACATTTAAGCCTCAATTCCAAAACAATTTGAGACAAACCAATAAAAGTGAAAAGTAATTTCATATGAAAATCTTAATGAGGAGCATTAAATTCAGAAAAAATATCCAACAGAGATGAGGAAAAAATAATAGAAGAAATAACTGACCATTCAGTATAGCCTGGATCGACAGTGAAACCATATACATCAACAATGTCGCACATGGAAAGTGCTAGCTCTATAGATTTCATTCCAGTTCCTTTGGCACCCCTACGTAGAACAATTCCTTGAAACAGATAAACAGGATTCGGAATCCTCTGTGATAGAAATCAAACAAAATATTTTAATTGCTACACGAAAATATTAGCTTATAAATCAAATATTAGTTCCTGCAATCATCACAAGAAATAATAAAATTCCTAAAGATACCCTTGCAAGAAACAGTATCAACAGCAAACAAGAATAAATAGCACTGAAGGCAGAACTCTAAGAGTCGCTGGAGATTTAATCTGATATCTGATAACTAGCACTCCAAAATCAAATATGCAATCATAGCCGCCAACTTCAAATTCTGTTCCTTTTTCACACAACCAGCTACTCAATACAAATAAACCATTTTTTTTAATTTCCTGAGATATGATCCCACCTTAATCATTGCATTAAAATCCCTATGGGTTAGACTCTTGATTATAAGCACCTCATCATCTGCATGGAAAAACGAGTATGTGAGTTTGTTTAAACATCATATTGATATGTCAATGACTGCTTGCATGGATAATCTTCACTAGATGAACAATAGCAACAAATAAAATATACATGAACATAAGGCCATGCAGAGAGAAGGGCAGCTTTCTTTTTCCCCCAAAATGTAGAAAGTGAAATTAAAATAAGAGTATGCAGGATAAGAATTCAAGACTTTATCAGCAAGATTAACATAGACCAACACTTACCAGATCCATTGAGAATTTCAACCATGTTTTGAGCAGCACCCCGTACCACAAGGCGGAAATCCCTCTTAAGACCAACATATTTGGCATATTTCTGTTGAGTGAGTGATAAGGGAGATAAGCATTTTCATAGTTTAAATGCCAACAGAAACCAGAAGAACAAAGAACCAAAGGCCATGCAGCCTCATGAAAAAATAACGATAAAACAAAAAAAAAAAGGAATTTGCTACTAATTCAGATAAACCTAGTAGAACAAGCATATACAGAACAAATTGCTTAAAGGAAAAGTTGTTGATAAACTATTCCATTCCTTGAAGTGTCATAAGGGCAAACTAAATCGATGGGAAGAAACAACATTGAAAGTTATCAGAGAACTGGATAACTCATTTGGTTTTGGTATTAGATTTTCAATCTACCTCATTGACAGGAGCCTCGTTGTCTCGTATAACAGCATCATGACTATCAATTTCTTTCCCAAACTTTGTTTTTAAAAGATCACCTGAGTTCCCAACAACTGCACACGTGCGAAACTGCCGTGGATGGAAAGGGGGCTTAGCTGGTAGAAGCAAATTAAGATGTTCTTCACAAAGAGTTCGATTGAAGCATTTATGAGCTCCCCTACAAGCCACAGCAAACAAAGTTCACAAACTCACGTAATTCCAAAAAAAAATATTTATTGCACCAAATTTACATAAAACCAAATCTAAGAATTGGAAAAGATAAACCAAAGAATATGTGTCAAAAATAATACAATTGTGCAATCCTTTTTGCTGCATAGTCCAACCATCCATCTGGCCGAGTATCTAGATATTCTCTAGTCAAAACAGTTGTAATGTTACGGTACTGCATTGATAAAGAGTAAAGACAATATCAATCACAGATGACTCCTCGGTGGGCAAATATAACAAGGAAAGGATGGTACATTAACCTGTTCCCACAATATAATGGTATCACAAATATCATAACTGTACTCCAATGGTTCATAAACCTTAAACTGCTCATTATACTGCAATCATGAAGGCATAACAATCACAATACAAACACATTAAAAAAAAGAGAGAGAAAGAGAGGTAGAAAATTTTATCATTAAGAGAAAGTAGAAAGAATCAGACCCAGGTGCTGTTTGTGCCTTGAGGAAACTTAAGAACCAATTTGCAATGATCGATAATGTGTGCAGTGAGTCCAAGTCCTCTGTTCGCCTACTTTCACAAACAATATACAATCATCTTCAACACTCAAATTCATCCAATTCTAGACAAAATCAGCATATTAAACTAACCCAAGTTTTTATTTCGTTTCATTTTATGCAACATAAAAGAAAAGATAAAAACTTTAAACTATTATGGAAGATCAAAGCATGAAAAAAAACTGGGAAAAAAAAAAGAAGAAGAACTAACGACGCATTGTTTAATGCTGGTCTGAAAATCAGATAAAATCCCCACTTCCTCCCTGTTGAGATCTGATACGGGTAGTTGTTCTTTACTGAGATCTAATTTTTTGTTAGTAGGACCTGAGATTCAGAAATAAGCAATGAAAGAAGAATCAACGGTATATAATTTTAAAAAGATAAAGAAAGAAAGAATAACCTGAGAAGAAAGAAGATTGTACTGCGAAAACAACAAGAGAAAAAAGAGCAGCAGCGCAAACTAGAGGTAGAAGCGCGGGTTTCTTCTGAGAGTGCTGAGACCTCATTGTGTTTTCCAATCTCACTTGGAAAAACAGAGGTTTTTTTACTCTACTCCGTTTCAGATTAGGTTTATCACTCTTTTTTTTTTTTTACTGTGATCAATTATTAGTGAAATTCACTCTCAACATTCTGATTTCTGAAGTAATAGGATACAGAGAGCTGAAATGGTTGGTTGAGGAATCTTGTTAAAAAAGGGGCAAAGGCAGAAATGTTCTGGAATTGGGAGGTTAGAATTGAACTCGTTGTTGAAGTTGATTTTGAGACCCAATCAGAGAAGAAAAGAAAAAAAAAAACAGAGAATGGTCTATGATGGTAGGGTCACATTTTAGGAGACCAAATCAAGCCCAAGTGAAAATGAATGAAACCCAAGCCCATTCAAAAGCATTTGCTTCACGAACAAAGCTAAGCAATGAGTTGCTTCAAAGCTCCAAGTAGAATCGAATGGGGCATTTGGGTGTTTATTCTGGTTATTTCCTTGAACCATCATGTAGAAGAAGGTATCATGCAGAGCAAATGCTTGAAAAAAATTACTCCAAACATATGTGTATGTATGATGCTCCAAGGAATATTTTATGGTGATAGAATTGAAAGGATGAAAATTGATATAATATAAATTATACACAAGACAGATACACAAATGAAAATGAAAATGCAAAATGTTCACATATGATATCTTAAAGAAGAATATTAAGAAATTTCGTCATATTAATATATTTATATATAACTTATAATTTTGGTCCAATTGGTTGCCCAAATGGATTGGAAGCTAGTTAGCGCCATGTGCTTTTTGGTGGGGTGCTTGATTATTTGAGACAGTGACATGCATCCTATTAGAATTTTGCTTAGAGAATATACAAGAGAAAAGTTTTGGGAAGATCAAACACAGCTAGCACACATTAGCCAAATTTTAATTTGGCAAGAGCGTTACTGCTCAGGTCTCAGAGTGAGACCGCTTGCGCTGGTATTGCTTCGTTCTATCATCATCTATGCACGCTCCGATGTGAATAAGCACTGACAATGTACGACCTCTTTGTTGTTTCATTTTTATTATTACTATTGGATGATCAGTATTCAGTAGCACCATGAGAATGATGAGTAATAATCGTGCCTGCTTTTAACATAAAGAGATGCTTATAAAAAAAAACCATGGTGATCCATCCAAGGCCCTATCCTTATTGCTAAACTTGAACTTGAAACAGATTATCATCAAGAAATGATACCTTATCTCTTTCACCCAAGACCCTAGCCATTCGAAAGAGTCTTTTTGTTTAAAAGTTTATTTTTCTATTATTGTTAGTTAGACGTCATATAAAAAAAACATCTAAAATCATTCACTATAACAAATTAATACTAATAATATCATAATCATTAAAAAAGAAAGAAAGAAGATACTCTCCCTATCTTGTTTTTGAAAAGAAAATTTTAAGGAATCTCATTATTGTTAAAGTGAATTTGATAACAGTATATATTTTCAAGATTTAAAGTGAATCGAGGTCAAACATAATAAAATATTAATAAATTTTAAATTTATTCAAATTTAGTTTGACTTTAAATTCGATTTTTATTTGTTATTTATAATTTTTAATATTTAATATTTTAATTTTTTAAAATAAAAAATAAAAAAAATTTATAATAAATATTAATTATGATAAAATAAATAATTAATAAAATAAAGTCTAAAGAATAACCGTTAATTCAATTCAATATTTAAGTAAGATTAGATACACAAGTGTATAAAATATTAATGCGTTCATATATATTATTTAGTTATCTATTTATTTTTATTTAATATAATTATAAATATAAAGATATATATAAATAATTACCAAGGTGGGCAAGCTTAACTCTTAAGTTTTATGTCGAAAGCCCAACTTAAATTTTAAATGAAATTTCAATTTAAACTTAAATCTGTTTAACGAATTTAATACTTATGTTTCAATTTTTTAAAATTTTTGACGAATTTTTTAGTTTGAGCGAATATTTTCGCCCCTAGATGTAAATCGCCCTATGTCAAAAATTCTGCTGTGCTTTTTCTAAAAGCGAAAGGAAAACAGAAAAGTTGTGAGACTCACGCGCTTGATTAGCCAGTGGGGCAGAGGAGAAATCCTGAGAAAATAAACGGGCCGGTCTTACCGCAGAGACCGCCACTTGTCAGGTTCTCCTTGTCATCACATGCGGTAAAACTCCTGGCCCCACAATTAACAGAAATATTCGCAGTCTACTTTTCCAACTTCCAATTGTACGTTTTTTTAACGGCGATGCGATTGCTCAACTCAGGGCCGTGCTGACTCACTCGTATTTCAATTCATAGCCTTGCTCTGCTTCACTCGCTTTTTCTTGTTTTCTGTTTGGTGGCCAGGCAGCAATGACGGACACGACGGACGATATAGCGGAGGAAATCTCTTTCCAGAGCTTCGACGATGACTGTAAGTTGCTGGGGAATCTGCTCAACGATGTCTTGCAGAGAGAAGTCGGCGGTCAATTCATGGAGAAACTCGAGAGGAATCGACTCCTCGGTCAGGCCAGTCACTTTCCTCTTCTCATTTAATTCCACTAAATCATCTTCGCTTTTGCCTTTTCTTTTTCTCTTTCTCTGATTCATTCATTGTCTGTTTCTTGCTTGTATTTTTCTGTTTATTTATAGAGCAGAGAGCCAAAGGTTACAGACACACAGTGAAAGGGGAACAAATATAATCTTTAATATTTTCTTATTACTGGCGTCCTTTTTATCTCTCTTCTCCAGACTTCATTCTAGTTTATTATTTTCTGCTTCCCCCCTAATGCTTCTGTTTGGTTGCCTAGAAAGTGGTGGAAGAAACAAAAGTGGGGAATGCCGGTGTGCAAAAGTTACGTTTTAAGTTGATTTTGTATGAAATCAAAAAGAATATTCTTTACAGGTTTATATACATTTGTTAGCTTTTTCATTTGTTGTTTTTTCTTCTTTAGAAAATGTTATTTGATTCTGTTTGGTTGCTGAAAAAATTATATGAAAACGAGAAGTGGAAAATAAAGGAAAATGTCAAATTGTATTTATATTTTTATGACTGTTTACTTATTTGCTTTTTGTATGAAAAACAAATTATTGGCTGAATCAAGGTTAGATTCTTTATGTTTATGCGTTTAGCTGCAAGTGCATGTTAGAATTTGACTTTTCTTTTTCTTTCCTACAATTTCCCTCAAAGCAAAAAAGGGAAGAGATTTATTGAGAATGATTTTTGCTAGTTTTTTCTTGTTGTAGAGTGCTTCTAATATGCGGTTGTCTGGGATAGAGGATATGGCAGAGTTGCTGGAGAAGCAGCTAGCGTCAGAGATATCGGCGATGACATTAGAGGAAGCCTTGCCACTGTCTCGTGCTTTCAGTCATTACCTCACTTTGATGGGAATTGCTGAGACCCATCACAGGTAGTGGAATTAGCTTATCAACTATTTACATTTCATGAGTTCCATTTCACTTTTCAATTTATAACAAATAATGCATGTAAAATTGTAGATCCTATGTTGCACTTGGAATATTTTAAAGTTTTCTCTATGAAACTTCAGATAGATTTTTTTTTTTTCACTAACTATTCCGAATGCTGTAAATTTTTTTTTTTTAATTTATTATTCTGTTATCTCCTGCTAAATAAAGACAAAGGTTTTGTTGTCATTAACATTTTCATGCTTTATCTTAACAGAAAATCATGTTGGAATAAGGATTGATTTGGTTTCCTTTCTCATTTATTCTGTGAATGGTGGATAAACTAAATAAAGACAAAGGGTTTGTTGTCATTAACATTTTCATGCTTTATCTTAACAGCAAATCATGTTGGAATAAGGATTGATTTGGTTTCCTTTCTCATTTATTCTGTGAATGGTGGGTAAACTATACAGGAAATAGGCCATGTTAATGTCTAAGTGCCTAGCAAATGCATTCATTACTTTTTGGATTTGCTTATAAAAATTAAGAAAATGCAAAAACAATCTGGAGACATACAAGAAGGTGTCCTGCACTTGCCTTTTATAGGACTCTAATACTATTATTATCATTTTCAGTTTTTGCTTGTACAAAACAACTTTATAATAGTTTTTATTTAATCAGACAACTGGAATAACTTAAGTTTCTGTAGGGTTCATAAGGGACGAAGCGTTACACATTTATCAAAATCTTGTGATGACATTTTCAGCCAGTTGGTTCAGGGTGGAATTTCCGCAAATGACCTTTATAACACTGTTTGCAAGCAGGTTTATTTCTTATCATTCCTTTTAGATTTAGTTTTCTTCAGCGCCTTGTTCAATAATCTGTCCAAAGAAAAAAGTGCCTTGTTCAGTTGCCTAATCCAAAAACACCAATTAGCAAAGAATATTAAGTATTAGAAGATTCAACTTCTCATTGTCTTTCTGAAAAGTGTGAAACTCACCTCAGTGAAGCCAAACTAATGTTAGCTTCTCTTGCAAGCTCAACTAATGAAGGGTAACATAATTGTGACGGTAAGTCCAGTCATGCAACTTGTTGTTCAATTCTTTATTTTGGGATCTAATTAACTGTAAAATCCTTTTTGCTGCAGGAGGTTGAGATTGTTCTTACTGCACATCCCACACAAATTAACCGTCGTACCTTACAATATAAACATATAAAAATTGCTGTAAGATCCTTAAAGGGATTTGCTGAAAATTATTAACTTGAGTCATGAAATTGTGTTAGAGCTATTTATCTGAATGTCAGCCTGTCTTTCCTTGCAGCATCTGCTGGAATACAATGACCGACCTGATCTTGGTCATGAAGATCGAGAAATGCTAATTGAAGATCTGGTATTGTTCCCCAATGCAATGCTTCCTGACCCCTCTCCAGGAAAATAAAAGGAAAAGGGGTTGGGGTTTGGTGTTTCTACTATTGTGCTGATCATGTGAAAAAAATGTGTTCCATTTTTTTAATCACATTTCCTTTTGGCATTTGTAGGTGATAGAGATAACATCTATATGGCAGACTGATGAACTTAGACACCACAAACCTACTCCTGTAGATGAGGCCAGGGCTCGTATGTCACTTTACATATATTAGAAATTGCATACATTTTCTCTTGTAAATGCTTCTATATGACAATAATATTGTTTTTTTGTCAGGTCTGAACATTGTGGAGCAATCCCTTTGGAAAGCCGTACCTCATTACTTACGTTGTGTTAGCAATGCTCTAAAGAAAGTGGGATATTGATTTCTGTTTTGAAGTTACTGTGATCTTTGAATGGATATACAATATTTATTGGCTTTCAGTCTCATTGTTTTCTTTTATTTGCTATTGTTTTTCAGCATACAGGAC